AGACTTTCCAACTCATGAAGGACGGCAATGGAAATCTTCTTGCAGGATGACCCAAATAGGGAACAATACAAAGTGAACAGGATGCTCAGTAATGACTTTAACTGTGATAGACATCTACCTAGAGAAGCCTAAGGAAACCATTCAATAATTCTTGGATAAATTTTTCAAAAATATTTAAATTAATAAATTTCACTTCTATTCAATAATTTATTTTATTCTGCAAGTTATCTCAGCTAGGGATACTCAATACTGCACATATAGGACACAGCATTTCAATTGGTACTGAAAGGTGTCCAGAGGAGATTCACCAGAATGTTCCCAGGAATGAAAGTCTTCAAACTTACAGAATACTGACAGGCCTGGATAGAGCAGACGTGGCGCAATCAAAAGAAATCACTGAACAAAAGCATATTATACAATCTCGTCTATCTAGGAAAATAAGCTCATCCATTACTCGCCAAGAGCTAAATCAAATCATCCCCTTAAAAAGACAACAATCATAAGTTTAGAAAGACAGATGGCTGATAATTTAAATACCTGAACTACACCTTATGTTTGTGAACCCATATAATTTTTCAGTCACGGAGTGAGTGGTGTTTGTTCAAAGCCATATACTTCCAAGAAACATGGCCTGCTTGACGGCTCTCAGCTTTCAAATCCAAAGTCAACACATTGACCACACAGGTGATATTATCCAGACATTTGGCAACTGAGAAAGTTGAATTAACGAACACATAAGGTACTATAAGTAACTCTATAGGGCTCTTTTTGTGAATGAATTTCATTATTAACTACCCAATCAGCACAGAATGATTTTGCATCCAATTTTAATTCTACTGTTAAATCAAAGGTAGCTTTGTAACTGTCTGCAAGAAGTTGGATTCGGAAACAGGGTGTTAATTCTCAAGTAATAGAAAAATCTAATGGAAGCAGCCATTTGAAAAGGTAGATTATTTGGTTGGACCAGAGCATGTGAAAATGATACCTTTACTTTCAATGCTTATATTGTGCTGCAATGTAAACAGAACTGATTTTAATGGAATAAGTAAATTTCTCGAAATCACAGCAAAGTAGCATGAAAACGCTCAGGTGAAACAATTGCTGCTATGGCACTCAAGATGCAGCATGTGGTGATAGCAAAGTGGTATTGTCACTGGATGAGTGATCCAGAGACCCGGGTAATGTCCTGGGAACCAGGGTTAAAATCCTACTATGGCAGATGGCAGAATGTGAAATCCACAAAGAAAAACAATCTACAATTAAAAGTCTAATGATGACCATGAAACCACTTTTGATAGTTGAAAAACCCATCTAGTTCATTAATATCTTTCAGGGCAGGTCAGTCCTTAACTGGTCAGGCCTTCGTATGACTCCAGGTCCACAGCAATGTGATTGACTCTTAACAGCATTTTGAACTGGCCTAGTAAGTCACTCAGTTGCATCAAACTATTAAAAGGAGCTCAAACAAAAAAGGCATGAAATGGGACATATCCATTAGCACTGACCCACGCACTGGCTGATGAATCAGCACTCCATCATGTATGCTGTTTGGACAAAGTACTGAGGATGGGAAAGACACAAAATGTACTATGGGTGAGGGACTTCAATGGTGATCACTCAACAGTGGCTCAGCAGCACCACTAGTGACCAAGTTGGCTGCACCCTAAAGGATGTATCAGCTAGTCTAAGTCTGCGGTAGGTAACGAGAGAATCAAGCAGAGGAAAATACAATCTTGACCTCATCCTCACCAATTTGCCTGCCACAAGTGCATCTGTCCATCACAGATTTGGTAAAATTGACAACCATATGGCCCCGATGGAGACAAAATCCCAACAAGAGAGAATCTAGTTATTGCCCCTTGACATTCAACGGTGCTACCATCATTGAATTCCTCACTGTCAACATCCTGGAAGATTACCATTGAGCAGAGCCTGAACTGGACTAGCTATACAAATACAATGGCTGCGACAGGAGGTTAGAGATAAGGAATCCTGCAATGACTAACTCACCTCCCAATTCTCCAGCGCCTACCAACAATCTACAAGGGACAAGTAAGGACTGTGATGGAATACTCCCACTTGCTTAGATACGTGGAACTCCAACCACACTAGGAAAGCTTGACACTGTCGAGGACAAAGCAGCCCACTTGGCACTACATCCACAAACATCTACTCTTGCCATCAGTGATACTTGGTAGTAGCAACATGTACCATCTACAAAGTGCACTGTAGAAATTCATTAAAATCCTTAAGACAGCACCTTCCAGATTTGCATCCACTACTGTCTAGAAAAACAAGGATAGCAGATACATGGATACACCATCATTTCCAAGTTCTCCTTCAATCCTGACTGGAAGTAGAACACCGACCCTTCAGTGTCGCTGGCTCAAAATCCTGGAGTTCTCTCCCTAACAGCCATGTTGAGTCTACCTACAGCACATGGGCCATAGCAGTTCAAGAAAGCAACTCTCTACCAGCTTCTCAAAGCAACTTTCCATCCAGTGATGCTCATGTGCCACGTGTGAATAAAAAGGCGTAAATGAAAATGGAATTTACAGAACTGTATAGCATAGGAACGGGCCCTTCTGCCCATGATGTTGTGCCGAACATGACGCCAAATTAAACTAATCCCTTCTGCCTGCCCTTGCTCCATATCCCTCCATTCCTTGTACATTCATGTGCTTATCTAAAAGTCCCTTAAATGCCCCTATCATATCTGCCTCCACTACCACCCTTGGCAGTGTGTTACAGTCTCCTACCACTCTCCGTGTAAAAAACCTTGCCCCTCCTTTGAACTTTCCCCCTTTTATCTTAAATGCATGCCCCCTAGTTTTAAACATTTCAACTCTGGGAAAAAGATTCTGATGATCAACTCTGTCTATGCATCTCATGATTTTATAGACTTCTATCAAGTCCCCCATCAGCCGGTCAAGAGAAAACAACCTGCGTTTTTCTAGCCTCTCTTTACAGCTTAGAGCCTCTAATCCAGGCAGCATCTTGATAAACCTCTCTTGCACCCTCACCAAAGCTTCCACATCCTTCCTATAATGTGGTGACCAGAATTGAACACAATACTCTAAGTGTGGCCTAATCAAAGTCTTATAAAGCTGCAACATGACATCCTGACTCTTGTACACAATTCCATGACCATTAAAGGCAAGCATGTCATATGCCTTCTTTACCACCCTGTGTGGCCACTTTCAGGAAGCTATGCACTTGAACCCCAAGATCCCTCTGCAGATCTATAGTCCTGCCATAAACTGTATACTTTTCCTTTACATTTGATCTCCCAAATTACAGCACCTCACACTTACCTGGATTAAGCTCCATCTGCCATTTCTCCACCCATATCTGCAACTGATCTATATCCTGCTGTATCCTTTGACAACGTTTAAATGATCTACAACTTCACCAATCTTTGTACCTACGAACCTACCCACTAAATTTTCATCCAAGTCATTTATATATATTGCAAACAGCAGAGGTCCCAGTATGAATCACTGCGGAACACCACAAGTCCTGGACCTCCAGCCAGAAAAACACCCTTCCACCACTACCTTCTACCTTCTACCTTCTGTGGGCAAGCCAATTCCGAATCCAAGTGGCCAAGTCACTTTGGATCCTACTGTATATCTTAATCTTCTGGATAAGCCTACCATGAGGGACCTTGTTGAAAGCCTCACTAAAATCCATGTAAACAACATCCATTTCTCTAATCTTATCGACCACTTTTGTCACTTCCTCAAAAAATTCAATCGAGTTAATAAGACATGACCTGCCCTCCACAAAGCCATGCTGACTGTCCCTAATTAGGCCATGATTGTTCCAAATGCGTGTAAATCCTATCCCTAAGAATTCTCTCCAATAGTTTCCCAACCACCAATGTGAGACTCACAGGCCTATAGTTTCCTGGATTATTCTGATTTCCCTTCTTGAACAGAGGAACAACATTAGCTACAAGCCAATCCTCCGGGACTTCGCCAGTGGCGAGCGAGGATATAAAAATCAAGGCCCCAGCAATCTCCTCTCTTGCCTCCCTCAATAATCTGGGTTAGATACCATCAAGTTCTGGGACTTATCCACCTTAATGCTCTTTAACAGACCCAACACCACTTCTTTCTTGAAATGCCCAAGCATATTGGCATGCTCCACACAAATCTCACTATCCTCCATATCCTTCTCCTGGGTGAATACGAATGAAAAATACTCATTTAGGATCTTGCCCACATGCTCTGCCTCCAAGCACAAGTTCCCTCTTTTATCCTTGAATGGTCTTACCTTCTCCCTAGTTATCCGCTTATTTTTAATACATGTGTAGAATGCCTTGGGATTCTCTTTAACCCTACTTGCCAAGGTCATTTCATGGCCCGTTCTTGCTCTCCTAATTCCCTGCTTGAGTTCTTTCCAGGTTTATAGTCCATGTAAACAAGCTTAAACGTATTAAAGCCAAAAGACAAAATACTAAATAGTACAAAACTAATTTTAAAGTAACAATGTTTGAAATTTGTCTGGAGAAACCAATGCAACACATCATATGAACTGCAGCAAAACTTGTAGAAATGAGGAACAACTGAATTTTCTGCAAGTTGAGGATTTGAATGATGAATTTGAATGAACAATGTTAGATAAATCTTTCTGCAAAAGAGGATGCTACAAATTGGCTAAAATTTTAACTTGATAAAGTAGTAGTAATCCAGATTAAGTGACAGAAAAAAAAACCAAATACTGGGTAGCACAAGTTAAAAATTAGGGGCTTAGAGTAAGAGGTAAAACCTCATTCAAAAGGCAACAAAGTTTTAGACTAAATGAACTAAAAAAAAACTGAAAATAAAGTATAAATAAATTTAAGAATCAATTACATACATTTTTGGAGAAGAGAAAGTTTGGGGAACCTACTGCGATGTTAGATAAGTGGGACTGATCAAGTTAAAAATTAAATCAACTCGTTGATCCAACTTTTCCTGTTCTTAAATTTCTGATCCAATTCTGAACAAGCATCAGCTCAATTAGTAACATTCAGCACAGACTGAAGAACAAAAGTAAATACTCACAAGAAAGAAGGTCATCGACATTATTCTACCAAGACCACATCTATTTGCTGTCAACATGATGAACTGTTGCTGTCCATGTGGTGAAGGTAGGCTCCCAATATTGTTAAGACAGTACAGTCCAAGATTTAGACTCAGCAAAAATGGAAATAAAAATGAGAGATGTCCAAATCAGGGTGGAGCCTCTTGTAATGGAACTTAAAGACTGTGTACATGAAACAATAGAAGCTGTGGCCAGAAGTCAAGTTCTGAGGAAGGGTCGTTCAACCCAAAATGTTAACTCTGATTTCTCTCACAGATGCTGCCAGACCTGCTGAACTTTTCAAGCAATTTCTGTTTTTTTCTTCTAATGGAAGTTGTGGGCTTGAGTGGTGCTATGAAACAAGCCACAGTGAGTTGCCGAATAGCATCCAGTGTTTAAAAGAATTGTTGCACGGTGCACCCAATGGTGAAGGGAGTAAAGTTTTGCACAAATGGGATGGGGTGCCAATCAAACAAAGCAACATTAAACAACAGGAGTAGGCCATACTGCCACTTGGGCCTGAGCTGTGATTTAACACAATCATGGTTGTTCTTCCACTCAAGCACCATTTTCTCACCTCTCCCCATCTCCCTTGACTTATTGAGAGTCCAGAAATCTTTCTATCTGATCCTTAATTGAACTCAAAAATTAAGTATCCATAACTCTCTCGGGTATAAAAATCCAAAGATTCACAACATTCCAAGTGAAGAAGTTTATCCTCATCTCATTTCTAAATTATTGCTCCCTTGTCCTGCGCTCCCATGTTCTAGCTTTCCATCATCAATAAAGCTAGATACATTACACAGTCACCTCATCCAAGTTATTAAAATAGACTGTAAATAGTTGCGGTACAACAGTGATTCTTGTGACACTTAATTAGTCACAATTATTTTCAGTTCCAATCTTTTCTTGTTTAATGCTTCATCCAAAGGTAGAGTTACTGTTGGGATTAAATTACTACAGCCTTACTAGCTCATCCACCTTATTGCCAATGACTTGCGTGTTGAAAGGGCCTTGAATTTTATCTTTTTACTTGTGTCCCTGCAATTACCTGATTGGTGAACTCTGATCCTTCCTGTCCCACTCGCTTTGGTTTTACCCACATTGCTATATTGTTCTGACGCCTCAACCACTCTCTGGTTTCCTAAACCTTCCTTCACCTGAATCGTTCCACAACAGCTGACCCAACCCCACATTTGTTTGAAGTCCTGTCACAGACTTAGTTGTATGATTTGCCAGGACAGAGGTTCCACCCTGGTTTAGATGCAGTCCATTCCAATAGAAGTACCCAATCTTCACCAAGTATTCATGAACCAAACTTCCTGAGCCTCATACCATTCTTTGAGCACGTTAAATTCTCTAAAATGCTTGAACCGATGTTAACAGGTGCATGACTCATTCAAGAAGCCAGAAATAATACCTTTGATTTTCCTTAATTTCTTAAATTCCCTTTAATAGAAGCAGGAATAATGCTCTGCTATGTTCTTGCTCCCCATGTAAATCATGGCAACTGGATTGCCCTCTTTGAAGTTCTCTTTGTAGTTCTAAGGAAATGTCCACATCCCTGACATCAGATGAGCAACACAATCATCAGAGCTCCAAGTCACAGCTGAAGAAAACGGTATATATCCACTGATTGGACTAATTTCTTTAACTACCACATTCCTCTGTGTTCCCCGCACTTGAATGGTATCCTTCACATCAGTCAGTCCACGTCCTGCCCGGTTCTTAATCCAAATAGGAAGCAAGCACTTTATACATGTTGGACAGAGTAAGGGACTGAGGTGCCTCGATGACATGCAGACTGCCCATACCTCCTGATGGCAATCACACTCGTGTATCCCTCACACTTGATCACCTCTGAAGTTCTGACTAGCCTAAGGAATGTGACCATTGCCTGGAACAGGGTCTAGGTAACTTTCCTCTCCTTGTTTGGTCAGCCTCCAACTCCATGACTAAGCTGAAGATCCAAAAACTGCACACACTTAATGCAGACAAGTTTACCCTGGATCACACCGGCATCTCCCACAATGATGACACATCACTTATCCTGTTGTCTTTACTGTGTGCTAATTAAGAAAAGATAAACTATGCATAACTAAGCTCTGTTACTTAACAATATGCCAACAGCTAGGAAATTAGGAGAATGGTGGAAGAAGTTCTCTCATGTACTCACAGAGCTCTTTCAGCAACGCTTACCTTTCTGTAGAAATAAAATGTTTAACCTTGCAAGTGCTCCTACCTGTATTAAAATCCAACTTGGACATCTGTAGAGCATATGCTTCACAGTCTTTCTTGCTGAAGCTGAAGATGATAACAGGCTGAAAATTCCTTTCCATGATCATCTTCACAATTTTAAATACGTTTGATGGACCTATATGTCAGAATAACAATATTTCACATACAATGGAGTGAAGTAAAACTTTGATGCATGAAAATAAGTCAGACAATACAACAAATGTTACGGCTGCAGCTCATGAATTCGGATCAAAATACACAATTTAAACATTTTTCAAACCAAAAGCAGAAAGGAACAAGTTCTTCCTTATTCTCAGAATCAAAATTTCATTTTGTGCAGAATGTCAGTTTCTATCACAGCAGTGTGGGCACTGCATTTGACTGACTAAAAAATAAAATCACTAGGTCAAAAATAATTGCTCGATTAAACTAGTTTTTCACTTGCAACAAATATATTTTACAATTGTCTTTATGTCAGGAGATGGGAATTCACATGATAAAAATGATATTGACTTCACACAGGTATTTTTAGCAATCACCCCTGCAAATGCAACTCTTTAGTCTGTGGGTTCTTGGTTTCCAACATAGGAATTAATTTGAACAGTGTCCTGTAATACATTGTAAATACATGGCAAGCTCACCAGAGTTCTTTAAAATGCTGATGTGATAAATGTGACTACCGCTCTGTTAATTAAATTTTTTGTTTTGTCTTGAGTTTCCTGATTAAGGTGAAGGATGTTTCTGCTAAGTACAGGTCAACTGTGACATGAGTTGGTGCTGGATAAAACTGTAATGACACAAGTCTGAAGCAACCACAAAGCCTCTAACATCACTGTCACATGTTTTTCCACTTATCCCACCAACTTCTTTGAGGAAGATTGCTAAATTGTCAAAGAGATTTTTATGATGTTGGACCACCCCAACTCAGAGCTAAACTGTGTGACCCATACGCAATATAATTCATGGACATGTATGATTAGTCACTTTGCTAGTTAAAACACAAAAATAGAGTATTTTCTGAATAGTGCAAAACTAATAACTGTTAGTGTGCAAAGGATTTGGGTGTTTTTGAGGAAGAAATATAAAGTTATTAACTACAAGAAGCAACAGGAATTCAAATTGTCATGGTGCCTATATTGGAAGGGGGTTGGAGCACGAGTGTGAGAATCTCTTGGTGCAATTGCACAGGGCTTTAGGGAGCTCACACCTGGGCCATTATGTACAATTTTGGACTCGGTACTTAAGGAAGTGCATAATTAACCTAGAAGAGCGCAATGAAGGGTCACAACATTGTTTCCTGGATGATGCGAGTGTCTTAAGAGGAGAGATTGACAGAATGGGCCCATACATTCTTGGGATTCAAAGAGTGACAGGGTATTACATGAACCAGATAAGATTCTGAGAGTATGCTCCTCTTGATTGAAATCTAGAACTAGGGGCACAGTCTCAGGATAAGGAAATGTCCATTTCTGACTGAGATGACATCAAATACAATTGAATACAGGAAAACAACCAGTGCCTTTGTAATTCAGATCCATAATAATTCAAACAGGAAGAGACACTTGCTTAATAATCCATAAAAATCAAAGATGGCTGGACTATGTAATGAGATAGTAGGAACTGCAGATGCTGGAGAATCCGAGACAACAAGGTGCAGGGCTGGATGAACACAGCAGGCCAAGCAGCA